TGAAAAATTCAATGCCTTGGTCAAATTTTCGAATATTTATTTATAGTTCCATTTCCGTTTCGAGTCTCCGTTTATGCATTTCCGTCTTTAAAGAAATGTGTATTATAAATCAAGTTTTGAAAACGTTACTTTAATGTAACTTTGTGTCAGATTTTTAAGGAATTGTTTGTGCAATGATTGTTTTAGTCGGCAAACAAGCGATAAGTGGATTCAGGGTTTGAATAGTGATAATTAGTTGGTTATATGTATGTTATCGGATTGGCAGAGGTATAATGAGAAACTGTCGATAATTTATTTGACACGGTTGATTTTGACTGGGGAAACGGGTCAACGGCGGGAAAGAGAATAACTAATGATCGCGTTCGACGTTGCTTTATGTTAGACGTGAGCAATTGGGAACAAGCCCTCGACTAAAACTGCCGCTCGTAGGTCATGCCGTTTCATGATTTTATCAACCATAAATCATGCGTTATCTAACCTCGTGAAATTCATGATTTCAATCATCCGATTCTAATTCGACTGGAAAATAATATCCTCGTGTAGCCAGACACACATTTTCGCGCTTGTATCGTTCCAATGTAAAAGCTGCTTTTTCACGTATTATACAACGTTTGAAATATTGAGAGCATTTTTAAAAATCAATCAGCTTTCCCATGTGTAAAATTACTACGATCTGGCATATTTTCAGTATAACGTTTCAAATGTTCGCGTTGGGATTTTGCCGTTAGTAAATTTGAGATTAAAAAGTCAACGCGTTCGGACAATGTAGAATCTTTTACACAATTATAGAATTTCCTGAACCGAACTGGAATTTGGTGTTTCGCCTCGAATTTGCGAGCGGTTTTCACGGCTCCAAAATGGTACCGGGCGTAAATACACGACGCGACGGCCGATGTAGGCCAGAAACGACGAGTGCCGGTAAACTGGGCCACAGTGCGTCGGCCTCGCGTCTAGAAATACCATTGCCGGTCGTTCGAAACGACCAAGAAGCATTCCCGATGAAAATTGCTCCGAGACCGAAACCATTCTGAAACTCGCGAAACCGCGGAATATTGAAGCCGAGTGCCTACCCACCGCGAAATGTATATATAGGTATCAAACAGCCGAGTTTCTTTGGCTCGTGCCTTTCTTTGCTGATATTTCCTATTTTCTGGGAGAGGATCAATATCGGATTTACTTCAAATACAAAGAATCGGTACAAAACACGTCGATTGACCCTGTTCCAATATTACCGTTGCATAAAAAACATTCTTAATTCCAAACAAAAATAATTCCTCATAGAAACTGCACTTATAAAAGATTTCTATTGTTACAATATGCCTAAGGTACAATAAATAAAATATTTTTGAGAAGTGAAATGCAGAAGTAATTACGTTCCTAGTAGACATTTTCAATTTTTTGAAGAAATTGGCGAGGCGCAGTTGGGCGAAATATAATCTCGTGGCCCAGTTTCGAGAAGAACGATTATGAGTCGCTCCAGAGATAATTTTAACTACCTGATAAGGAAATGAAATAACCCATACGGTTGAGTTAAACGCTTATTCCTGATAAGAATTATTCGAAGATGTTCTGATTAAATTCAATTAAAATTACGAACGTTAATGCTAGAGGGTCAATTTATGACTAACTGTCATCAAAACTGTATTTATTGCTGTTCCGCATTTATTCTTTGAAAGTATATATTTTAACATATATTTCGAGAGAAAACTGAATCAGGAAAGATGTAACCGGGTAACATTCGAGAGGTTGGAAATCACTTTAAAACTTCTATTTATGATTTCTACCTGAGGTGGAGTAAATGAAGGTGAAATGTAATTATAAAGACAGTTCTCCGTTCACTCCTCATTTAATTCACAAGTGATTATTAGTAATTACATATACATGAGACTGATATTCACTGAGAACTTTTCTCCCCGCAGTTTTCAAAAGAAATTTCATCGTGACAAAAGATATTCCAAGCGTTTAATGTAATTCACATATTTTAAAAGTCATTTTATTTTTTAGATTAAAAACGTGTACAGCCTTGAATATATTGTTTAACCTCAACATTAATTTTTTCTCACACAATTTCGTTGTGGTCTCTGCGGTTTGTGCTTGACACATGTTATCAAACTCAAAATTTAATTCCAGTTTACGCAATAGTTGTATGTATGATTAAAATGACAATTCGGAACTGTGCAGAACAATTCGCGTCCGCAACTTTAACTCAATATTGTACAACCGAAAAGCAATTACTAAATTTTGTACACGGCGGTATAATAAAAAGGTTGGAAATAATTAAATCACTAAGGAACGATAACCGGAAAGAAAAAATGAATTAACGATTATTGTATGTTATTTTTATGTTCTAATAAAACGCCCTGACTTTATAAATTCCGATGCAAATATTTGTTATCATATCTACCATGAAATTCTCAAGGACCAGCTACCGATATTACTTGCTCCCTCTCTCCTTAAAAATACAATCCACTTTCATCCTCGGTATCATGAAACGAAAATAATCTCCCCACATCGAGATAAAAATACGCGATCTGTTAACTCAAAGTCAGTGCGATTTTTATATTTTGTGCAAGTATCGAATTGATCAGCCGTTCAGCCAGAAGAATAAAAAGCTTTCGTGCAGCCCACGAAAACAAAAACATGCAATAGAAACTTCCCAGACTTTTTACCCTCAGCAACATGTATAATATAATTTCAGTGACCTATTTACTCGTACATCAGAGAAAAACAATTTTAATACCATAATATATAATATGAAGATAAAATTCAATAAAAGGATAAAATTCACTTGAACGCAACAGGAAGTGATAAATTCTGCTGCGGACTAGAGAAACTATAAATGATAATTGCAATGATAACGTTCGCACCTCGACGAAATGATTTGAGTGAGCATTTAATCAGTCGCGTCCTTGTTGGCAGCGCTAGCTGACAGCCAACGAAACGAGATTATATGCACGGCAGACTCGCAGTTAGCTTAGCTGGTAGCAGTAGCCAAGGAGACCGTCTGTCACGACTTTTTCCACCCCCATCCCACCCCTCCTCGCGCTTTTACTACGCCGTGCGTACGACGGGTCGTTGATCTTCGCTCGAGGAAGTCATGCACGCGGCCTTCGCGTCCTTGACAGTGACGTCGAGGGGCTGTCCGACGATTTCTGTTTTCCCGTGAACCTCTTTGTCGGTTCTTTGCCCTTCCGTGGCTTTTCCCTTTGACCCGTTCACAAGCAAACTTGTGCTTGTGCGTGTGAATGCATTTTTTTGGCAACCAGAATTCGATGAGAACTCAGGGCCGAGGGGCTCGTTCAAGCGTTCAGGAACAAAGGTCGCCGTCGGAGATCAAAGTTGATTGCACCGGGGTTTCGCTGCAGTGGGGAAGATTAAAGGTAGGAGAAAGAGAGGGTGCAAGGTTAAACAGAGTTTTCAGTACCGCGTTGAATGTTTCATTGTTCGGATGATCGCAAGAACAGAGTGGTTGTATTTCGAAATGAGATATTTTCACATTACATCATTCGATATTCAGATGCGAGAATATTCAATGTCTGATGTACAACATCTTTCGTACGTTCGTAATCTGTTTAAATCGGCGTAAAATCTTCTCGACTCTTATCTGTATGCACTCCTGCCAAAGTCTTTTTGCGGTACGCGAGTCTGACACGGCGAACTGGCATCCCGGACGCTCGATAAATCATTTGAAATTGTGTCTAAACTCTGGATTCCAGGAAGTATCGGAACACTTAAGATAAAGTAAATGTTCAATCACAGGCTCCGGCGCCATCGATCATGTTAGCCAATCGCTAGGCGAGTGTTGCACAAAGCTCAAACTTCGATCAACTATTTCTACAAGAGTTTTAGACGTGCTCTGTCAGCACCATTTCACCTAAATATCCACGGCACTTAAGTGTAGATCACTGAATATAACTTTTTTATATGTAGGATGAATTGTAGTATTACAGCGAACCGAACATTATTTTCTCTTGGCGATTTACCATTCAAGTTTTGAATAGCGTGCAGAAGCGTTCAAGACGTGTCACGAGCACCTGCTTGAAACCGGGCTCGCAAAAGAGAAATTGGACGAAGTGTTTCCACCGTTAACGCCCCCCTGCCTGTGTTCAGCGTTTGTACTGTTGAATCAAAATGTAGACGTAACAGGAGGCCTGCCTAAACGGAGCTGAATGAACACCGCAGAATTAATTCTAAGCTGAAACTGACAATTTATATAAATAGGTGAATAAGGATTAGCTTTTGCTCAATCGCAATCGGCGTAGAAATTCTTCTGTACGCCTTTAGAAGCCGTGACGTCGTCAACTAAATAACACGTAGATACGTTTAACGTAGCTTAAAGCGGCCATTACGTTAATTCGTTTGCCTTTTACACATTACCGGAATCACCGGTTAATCCCTTGCGAATTAGGGGACAATTTAATTACCTCTTTGCCGAGAGATTTGTTAGCTTGTTCTCCGTTTTATTCGTTCCGGTGTTACGACATAGTTTAGTATTGTCTGTCTTGATAGTTTTGGTAATACCATGTATTACGCGATCAAGACTCCGGGTAAATTTATAGAATAATTATTCGAAATAAATTGAATCCCAAAATTGTTTCAGGTTCAAATTGCCAGATCAAATCAGTATTTTCACCTCTTCTTATATTTCATTAAATACAGGCAATTTTTTGTTTTCATTGTTCTGGTAACGTTCTACTTTTCAATTTAGGCAGATTTGTATGTACTTTGTAGGAGCACCGGTCGTTAAAAAAGTTTCGAAAACCGAGTAAGCACTCGGACTATCTATTTGCCGGGGGTGAGAGGGGCGTGGTGGCTGAAAAGGGAAAAACTTGTCCCCATCGACGATACTCGCGCACAATACACCTTTATCCACTCGTGGCTCAGCTGCGCCGGTTCAAGTACCTTTTGGACGCGATTCAACGTTCTCGTCGAGGCTGATACTCGAACGACCGATCAATCGATCCAAAACGATTCCTTCCTTTTTACCTCTGCTGTTGCAGGCTGGCTGGCTTCGACGTTGAACCGTTAAGGACCAGGATGGCAGGATCGAGCCGGGGAGCTCGGCCAGCCTCTGAACGACGCCGCTCGACCATCGTGAATCGTCGCGAGGGACGAAGCTGGTCTTCGTTCGATTAAAAGGAGCTTGAAAACGGGCAAGAAGCGAAAGGAGTAGAGAAAGAGAGAGAGAGAGAGAGAGGAGAAGAGTGGTCGGTCGCCGCGAGGTCGAGATGAGCGATCTACAGGCCACTCTCGAGTTCTCCCTCGAGCTCTGCAAGTTCTACAATGTCGACCTGCAACAGCGTGGGTAAGTAAGCAGATCCACCTCCCCTGATCTGAGGGATTTGCTGTAATGAGAATGAGAGCAGCCAGACCCCGAGCGTAATTGCGACGGCTTAGCCCGTAGGCTTATCAACGATTCCCAATTTCGCAGGTATTACCAGATACGAACCGCCCTCAGAGTCTCGCCTAAACTGCCTGTCAAGGTGGAGGTTAACCACCTGCGGAATGGTGAGTAGTCTCTTTCGAATCTTCGCTTTTTCCAACAGCAGCGTGAGATAAAATGCGAAATGAAATTGTTTTGTCTTTCATTTTTTAATAAATAATTTTCCTAGGGAAATTAAAATGTACATTGACCCATATAAAAATTATGATATTCAGTCTAATCAATTTATTATATACACGATTTATTTGGTACAATTCTAAGATCTCGTATTTCATAAAAGATTTTTTACCAATTCCTCGGCGCACTGGCCGAAAGGAGATCGATGGTAACCGAGTTTCCGCGAAATTACGACCTGTCCCCCCGCAACCAGGGAAAGTTTCTCGTAGCCCGATGCAGGCTGCAGGAAAGTTTCACAGTAGCGACAGAAAACGCGGGGTGAATCCGGCGCGATGCGAGTTAGACAACGAACGAGAATTTCGAACTAGTCCAAACCGTGGCACTCGATAGCGTTAGAAAGTTAGGGAAACGGCGCGACGAACGGTGTGACAGAACGTTGTCGCATCGCATCGCGGGGCCTCTCCTCATTGTGCGCCGAACTCGAGCGTCTCTTCTTGTCTCCGGGAAAAAGCAAACGAAACGAAGAGGAAAAAACAACGAGACGGCGACGACGCTCGAGTCCGACGTTCTTCAGCTAAGCATCTATCCAGACCAGACGCGCATCAGACCTGTTTCATTCCGACTTACATCTGAACATATTCGAGCCAAAATTCAAAGATTCATAGACATACAATAATCGTTGGAGAAAGACATAAGAATGACATATAAATGAAACATCAAATTTTAATACAGGATTTAATAAAAAAGCAAATTGCATTAGAAACGACGTATATAGTTCATCGACTGGTTATATAAATTCCTTTTAATTAATTGTTGGTCTGTCAATCGAGTTAGGAATATTTATTGATTGATACCAGATTAATCTTGCAGACGCGTTTGGGAAGCCCGGAACGAGCAAACGTTTTCGCATCCTTTACAAAAACGAGGAGGTGACACTTGGTACCTCGGTTCTGTTCCGTGCCCACGTGCTCGTGCACAGCCACAAGATCGAGGAGGTGCTCTCGCGCACCCACTTCAATCTCGGCGTCGAGCTATGGTTCAGCGAGCCGACGCAGCCGATGGACATGGCCTGTGTCTCCTCTAGGTACGATAAAATTCGTCCCAGAGATTATGCATGTGTCCGCGAACCGCGACGATCGCCCGAGCGTGAGGTACCCCACCCGGAAACGATATAGGTATTGCGGTTTCACGGCAGCGAGATTGCTACACGCGAATCGTTATGCGAGGATCGTGAGAGAGTTGTCTCTCTTGAATATTAAACGAAATATGTCTTTGCTTGTAAAATGCAGCAATCGCTGGAGATGTTTTATCAATACGGAGCTTAAAAGTGTTAAATGATAATTAGCGTTGAAGAATGTTCTTTTTGGAGAAGTCATTACAAATTAGAATTAATCAATGATAGCGGACAATTTCAAAGTTGTCTGAAATTCTGAACATAGCACGATGAGGAAATAGACAAGATACTTAACAACTCGAGAAACAGGAGCTTTGAACAAGTCCCATAAATTTCTTCCGGCCATTACGGGCTAAGCGAAGGTGCACACGGTGCCGGGGCTAGCAAAAGTTTCCCACAGACCTAATAGATGGGAAAAGATCGATAACCTTGGCCGCCCGCGCTTTCACCGCAACCGACGGTTCCACACTTTTGACGGGCGTACGTTTTCTTTTTACTTTTGTAGGGCGTTCCAGCTGAACTTCGTGCCCACGAAAGGGCTTCACTATCATCTGCCGGTACTCTTCGACTACTTTCATTTCGCCGCTGTCTCAATGACGATCCACGCCTGCCTCGTCGCCCTCCATCAACCGTATATCAAGTCGGTATCAAGTTAAGTCTTTCCTTCTTTTCTACCCCAGTTCTCTTCCTCCCACAAACAATCACATAATTGCTAATCACGAACGATTTCTCTTCTGCTTTCATGCCGACATGATTGTATGTTTTTCTCTTACACGTAGGAAGAGCATACTTCATTACGTGCAGAGCTGGTAAGTTGCAAATGCGTCGTGCAGCGAAAATTGTAGAGGAAATTTACGAGTATATTTATGAATACGATGAAACGAACTACGTGTATAATTGAAACGAAGAGAAATACCAATATTTTTCTTAGGATCATTATACTACCGGTTTTAGATTATTTTCGTGATCAATCTTAAAATACATTGCATACAATGTATTTTTACTCAAACCACTTTAAAAGGAAGAAGAATTTCATTTGCACAATTAGTTTAATAGAAAATTTCTATTACTGGTTGGATCGCGTTCCAATTAACCATCGCGAGGGAGTAATGAACCGGGTAATATGCTTGCAGCGCACCGCGGGGAGGTAAACCATGGTTGCAATTTAAGCAGTCTGCAGCGAACGGCGACAACAATGCCCGGTTAGAAAATGTCGTGAGTTCGCCAAATTAATTCGAATTTTTTAATCGACTCGGTGGTGAAAAAAAAGCCGAGTGGAGAAGTCGAATATCGACGTCGACGATCGTTACAGGAAACGACGACGAGATGCGTCGGCTCGACCACGAGGATACAACACGCGGAACTGGTTCAGCAAGAGGTGATCAGGTTACTCTTGGCCGCGAGGAGATCTTTGCTCAACGATTTGGCCGATTTGGCGCGGCTGCTTCCCTCTTGCCAGCAGAGAGAGCTCGAGTTCGCCCAGAATACGCACAAAGAAATTACCAAGGTCTGTCCTTCGTTTCAAATTCGATTATAGAATCTCAAATCTAAAAAAAAAAGAGAATTGTTGCTTCAATTCCTTAATCAAAATTTTCTAAACTTTTCCTCCGAGTCGACTTGTTAATTTTGGAAGTCGACACTGTATAATTTTTTAGATGATGGACACGGAGGAGATTGATATCGCCCAACTCTGCGCACAAAATATCGTCCTCTGGCAACATTTTTTGGAAGCGTTCTCCGGATGCGAAGCCGTTAATCAGCATCTCGCGAGGATCCATCATCAACTGAGGGTAGATAACACTACGAATCATTCAAGGAACCTGAAAAGGAAACTGTTCAACTATCAATTGGCTATTACTCCCACGTAGGTGAAACGTTTCGCGGAAGGTTTCTTCGTGCTGGAAAATCCTAGGACGTCCGCGTGGGGTTGTTACGACGCGAACTATCAATCGTATCAGGCGGTAAGTGAAGCAGCGCGTAGATCGCGTTACCTCACCACATTGCCGCCGCTCCCGGTTCACTGTCCGGAACTGGACGGCGATCTACATTCACTTCCGCTGATCTTCGAGGATCAGTACGTGGATATGAAACAGAGGCACAGAAACAGTGGCAAGTATCACCAAACAAGATATCATTTTATATCTAATTTCTTCATTATTATAACAAAAAACTGTCTCACATTATAATTTTTTTAATCCCTAATAACGTAATTATTTTTTGTTTCAGTTCCCGGTATCGATGATTGCAGTTGCGGGATAACGGCGATCCTGGAGTCTCGGAACATGGGAATCTGGTCTCCGAGAAGCGAAGGTGCTGCGCAAGATATCGGATCGATCCAGGGCCGTCTGACGCTCGTCCCTTCCACGCTCCCGGCCAGGCACAGCAAATCCCTGGACCAATTGGGTCCCGACATATCCCCGCTGCAGCCGAGGACGTCGCCGAAAACACTACCGCGTTCAGTGTCAACGCAGTTGTTCCCTCGGCAGCGGGGCGCAGCGCGAAACGTGACTCCGCCGGCGACAGTTCCTTCGAGAGGAAGGCAGAGGTTGCAAGCGCCGTCCAGTAACACGCTTTTCCCTCCGACGGGACAGCAAGCGTGTTCCGCGCCGAACCCATCCCTCGGCTCAACGCCAGTAGTCCCGTTACCGCGTGCCAAGTCTACGCAGATGTTGGTAGTACCCGGGCAACAGAGTGATCCGCAGAATAGCTCGATTACGTCCCTTTTGGCGACGATGTTCCCGGAATCGCCGCCTGGTGTTACGTGGTTGCCTGGTTACAGACCCTCGAACAGGTCTTGCGAGCAGACACTCACTGTGCCCACGTGCATGGACCATGGCCAGATGGACTGCTGGAACGAGAACAAGAGTCCAAACATTCCCGAAGGTAAACATTTTTATTTAACTTAATTAATACGATACTAATTGTTCTCTTTAATTAATACGATTAATTTGCAATTTGAAATTTGGACAAGCATAATGCAATAGTTACATCAAATAAAAGAAGTTAACGAGAATTTACTTTCTCTACCGTATTGTGTAAGACTCTTTACATGTAGCCCATTCTCCACGAAACATTCCCTTTGAATTGGGGCTAAAAAATTCTCGCTCTCACGGTTCGCCCTTAAGAGAGAACCCACCCCTACGTACGCAGCCGCGCGTACAAACAACCACGCCTCTCATTCTTCAAATTTTCGAAATATCACATTCGCACTTTACTCGACGACTCTCTACTCGTTCACGCGCTACTCAGACACTCGTAAATTTTTGAAACATACTATAAAAAAGATTATTAAGTCGATATTCTCCACAAGTCTGTATTTTAATACTACAAAACTACAAACATAATACAAAATACATTATATTTTACAATGTCTCTCGTAAACTATTATCGTTCCGATCATAACTGCACGATGATTATTTTCATTTCTAGAGTATCATTCTCTCGACACGAGAAGGATGTGTCTAGACCAACGCGGACATCGGCTAGCAATGGCAAAAGCAATGCGTCAGCCATTATGTACCACCAACGATCAAGCAAATTTCCTTCCTGGCAAAGTGAGCATGAACGGTGAAGCTTTCCTCCAGGATCACCAACAGCCTCTCCATACGGCGACCCTGGACAGAGTGACATACCGAGGGAACTCCCGCAAGCAGACTCATCAAATAGGTGGCAAGTACAGCCAAACGAACGGGGTAGAATCCTTATGTAGATATCACACGATCAGAAAATCCAGTTCGGGACAGCAGCAGAACCGGGAGATTTCGGATTCGATAAATGGCGGCGGTCTGCCGAGCAGCCACTCGATGATGGTCGATCCTCTGTATAAAAGATCCAACTACTCGAATACGGACACCGACTCTTTTTTCTATCGAACGAACGGTACCAGCGGACAGACTCACGGCGAGCCGGAGCGACCGAGGAGACCGAAGAGCACGGAAAGATTGGTGGACGATGTGAACCGCAACGAGTACTGCGAATTGCGAAAAGAGAGGTCAAAAAGGAGAGACGAAAGACTAGCTAAATCGTCCCGTAACGGCGTGCCGCCGTGCTACGGAGAGGAGAAGCAAAGCAGGAGAAGTCAGAGCAACGAGGATAAAATGCAGGAATTGACGAACGAGATGTTTTACAAAGTGATGATTGCCATGTCAGAGCCGAAGAAAGAGCACAGAACGGAGAGGAGGAAAGACAGACACGGGAGGAGGCCGCATTCCGCGCCTGTTCTGGATATCGATCAACCAGCCGAGGAGAATAGGAAGCACAGTCACAGGAATAGAAAAACGGCCCCGCCGCCTCCGGCATATCAGGACGCCGCGCCGTTGCCGAAAATTCCTCCGCCTCTGCCACCCAACGATATTGATGTGCAGAACTACGACAGAGCCCTTATGAACGATACATCGGCGACGAATGGCACGACGGACGTCGTCGGCCTCTCGGCGCCGAACGTGAAAAGACTGAGATGCGCCAGCGTGCCGGTTGCACAGAACAAAGTCGTTGTGCCGCGGAGCGCGATCTCTCTACCTTGCATGCCGATCCGCGATAGCAAGGACAGCCTTAGCAACAATCTTCCCGTGATCCCGAATCCGCTTAGTTCGCCGTCCAGTAGACCGAGCAGTCCCGCGACCAGTTCGAGCTCTAGCAACCTGACATCCGAGTGTTCCGGGTGGGTGAGTAGCGGAGACACGTCCAGCTCGGAACAACGTCGGAACGCGAAGCTGTCGAGTGAACAACTCCGTCAGAAGCTGTCGAAAATCGTACCAAGGAAGGAGAGGCTACCGGCGCCGACGAAGGAGTGTATCGAGGAACACTCCTACGAGGAGGTCCGACTTCCGCCTCCGAAGATGTTCCAGGACGAGCCACCACCGCCGGAGGAGTTCCGCGATCCGCCTGCCATCATCGACAATCCTCTTTATCACGTTTACGAAACGATGAAACCGGTCAGGAGTCCCAAACAGACGAAAACGGCGCCTTGCAGTCCGCAGAAAAACAGGGACAGGGAGAGGGAGAGAGATCTTCCGTACGGAGTGAGGGACATCTGTTTCGATTGTTATCAGGAGGGTAAAGAGCTGCTGCAGTCGACCCAGGACGACGCTATCAATTTCAAGAAGTGCAAGGAGGAGTTCAAGAGGCAGATGAGCTTCTCCGGGAAAATCTACAGGTGCGTACTCGATCACGAAGAACGATTTAGGATGCTCCCGAATTTAATCAGGTTCACTGATTAAGTGCTGATAAATGGTTTTAGAGATAGTTTTAGTTACGATGTAACTCCCTGCCGCTTTATCGGTGTTACGTTCATTCGTTTATTTTTAAATAATTGATACTGACGCTTCGCAATACTACCAAAAATATTTTGGCTACTACCGCAATTCCTACATTTATCATTTCACCGCGAGAATCGTATTACTTCGGCAGCGAGCAAACAGAACTGCTCCAGTGCATCGCGTAATGCTTTTTCTCGTTTATTTTCTTCTGCTTTTATTCGCAATCATTGCATCGGTGCTCTATTCGCTTTTTTCATTCCGGTGACACTCGTCTGTCTATTATGTTTTTCGTAGTAAGTTCTTTCTTTGTCTTACCTTATCCTATATAGAGAACGCAAGGAAGCGCAGTTGCGTTTCCATAAACGTGCCCATTCGTTCGGATACGGTGACTTCCCGATACTGTCGTCGTCGGTAAAATCTCTAAGATCGAATGTGCCTCTTAGCGATTATTCGTCCCTGGCCTCGACCATGCCGTACTTCCACATCAGCAACGAGAACCGTCTGTTTTCGCCGGAGGGGACCCACCTGATCATCTGCGTTCACGGTCTCGACGGGAACCCCGCTGATCTTCGTTTGGTCAAGACCTACTTGGAACTCAGTCTTCCCGAGTCGAATTTAGATTTTTTAATGTCCAAGAGGAACCAGGTGAGCCATGAAATCAAGAGATTTAGGAACACAATGACAATGAATAAAACATTTGGAAATATTTTTCGTTCTAATCGGCAGCGTGACACAGTTTCGGACTTCGACACGATGACCGATCGATTGGTAGCCGAGATTCTCCATCACATCGACAAGTCGGACTTGATTCCGACCAAAGTCAGTTTTATCGGACATTCTTTAGGGACCATCATCATAAGGAGCGCTCTGACACGACCCGAGCTACGACCGCTTCTTCCACGTTTACACACATTTCTAAGTCTTAGCGGACCGCACTTAGGCACACTGTACAATACCAGCGGATTAGTTAATGCAGGTATGTTTTAAGAAAATTTTTACGATCATTAATCACATGACACAGCATAAAATAGAAAGCATTGCAACAATAAAAATGAGTACAATCTCTACTTCGTAGTTTTTTTATAACAATTCTTTGGATTAATTTACAATTTTATACGAGACTGAATTTCGTTTAGGCATGTGGTTCATACAAAAGGTGAAGAAATCCGGGTCGTTGCTGCAACTGGCGATGAAGGATGCGCCGGACGTCAGGCGGTCGTTCATGTTTCGGCTAAGCCAGAAGAGCAATCTCGAGAAGTTCAAACACGTCCTCCTGTGCGGCAGCGCGCAGGATCGATACGTGCCACTCCATTCCGCTCGTATAGAGCTCTGCAAAGCCGCCGTACGAGATTCGACCGATCAAGGTAATCGAATGGTCATTTATTTTTCATTTACCTCCGGTGATACGATCCTCTCGAATAAGCAGCAAAATACCGAAGACGTCCGTCCCAACCCCCCGCGTTCTTCTGATCAAAAGAGTTCTATTTTCTGTGACAAAAGAACATATCTGCTTTAAACTAAATCTAATGTGACATACTTTATATCCTCCAAGGAAACGAAACATGATTTATATCTTTATTTCTGATTAAAATTATCAGTTCAATCATACTGAGAAATATTTTATTGAATAATTTCATACTTTCTAATTATCAAATTCTTATATACGATTATTACATGTCTGACAAAAGATCAGTATGTAAAGTAGGATTTCGATTAATCGAATCACTTATATGAAGTCTTACTAACGCGTTGCACACGGATTTATCTAAGAAGATTTCGATGATCTGAATTATCTAATTAGATGATTTGCTTTATCCCTCGATCCGTTAGCTATAACTAATCTATTTCGCTGTTACAGGGAAAGCGTACCGCGAAATGGTTCATAACATCCTCTACCCGGTTATGTCTTCCACGGGGGTGAGTCTGGTCAGGTACGACGTACACCACGCGTTGCCGACAACGGCGAACACACTGATCGGTCGAGCCGCGCACATCGCCGTCCTCGATTCCGAGCTTTTCATCGAGAAGTTCCTTCTGGTGGCTGGACTGAAGTACTTCAGATAAGGAACGGACTGCCTAGCGACGTTAATAGACGCGATCACAAGAAATCTAGTCTGAAAAATGCTAGCGAAATAACAATTGGAGATGCGATGCAAAAAGAAACCGAGAGCGGATTCTCGTAACTCTCCGTAACTTCTCCGATCGCGTTAGAATTATTTAATTAATTAGCCTGCTCGATGATTGCCCCGCTTCTAAAACCGAGTTTCCTCCCTCCTCCTTCGTGATTGCCGCTCCGTTTCTCTTTCCTCCGATCCCGTGCGAGTCGATGTGGAAGCGGGGCAATTCGACGTTTTTACACGAATTACACGACGTTCGGACATCGTTTTTAAACTAAGAACACCCGTCGGATCAGTTTCTCTCGTTAGGTTCCTAAGTATCATTCCATCGGGGGTGCTGCCGTTGCCTCGCTGCTTACGAGCAGCGAGGCCTGTCACCCCTTCGTCGACGATTTCATCGTGAACCATCGAACGGTAAATAAATAACGAATGGACCTATGGCTGCGCGAAGAATAGGCCTATTTGTAGATCGTATTTGCGACTGGCCTTCTCTGAAGAGAGGGAAGACGCGGAATAGGTCGACCGGGGGTGCGATAGGGTGGTTTGACGTCGATTGACGTGTTCATTGCTATTCGAAGTGCGTGGATAGAAGCTTTTAAGGGAAACAGGGGATAGGGTAAATAAACTCGCATCGGGTTTCGATCAGGATGACGTTGCAGACGTGTTTTTGTGGTGCCAGGGATTAAATACGAATTGAAACATTGGGAATTGATAGATAATGTCTTCGTGGAAACTGGAATTGAGATACTTCTTATTGTGATAAATGCGCCGCGTTGGTGTAATGATCGCGTGTTCCATTTACTTTCACCTTACAGCATCTTCTGATTTTTATACTAATGGTGTAAAGTACCTTAAATCACTCCCATCTGAAATAAAGTCAAACTACCCTCAGCACCGATCGTAAAAAAATAAGAACAAATGGGGAAACCTGGATCAACCATGAACGAAGCATGAACAAGCAAGGGTCGTTCCCTGTCATTGATTTCAGGAAGAAAATATCCGTTTCTAGATCACTGCGTTAGACGTTAAAGAAACAAACTTGTTAAATTATCAATCGTATAACGAAACCAAAAAAAAAAGAGAAAGAGTCGACTCGCCTTTTTTCAAATTTCTTTATAAGACTCGAGAGAACGCAGTATCGCGTCGCTTAATGGTCACCGTGGCTCCCTTTAATTAACGTAGCCTGGTGTCTCGAGATAAATATGAAGATTTACGCCAAAGGAAAGCGCATGAGAAAAGATGCACGAAGTACGAAGTTATATATGAAAAATAAAATTAAAAAAATTGTGACAGTGCTCGGTCGCATTGTCCAGACGCTAGGAAAGTTACGAAACGTATGTCAATTGTTAACTCTCAGATAAGTGTGAGTGCGTGCGGTGTGCGGAGGATGGATGAGACACGTAAAATGTATGAGCGAGAGAGAGAGAATTCTAATTTAGAAAGAGAAAAAAAGAACGCGGTGGCACCAATACAAAAGAAGGAATGTGGCATGGATAGAAGAAATGCTATGGATTAATGATCAAGTGGATGAAGAACGAAAGACGATGGATGAGCACAATGTAAAAATGTTCGAACGTGTGAAAAAGTGAAATGAAGAAAACGGTGAAAATACGTACATGAGCAAGACGAAGAGGACGAGGCAGAAGAGGAGTGACTAAACTTTTTTCAGGTATATGAAATCCCTCCAAAATACTAGATCTCAATTGCTCAGAACAATCTAAGTAAAAAAAAAAGTTATTACCATTAATCGTTAATCGAAGCAACGAAGACGCGCGGCTGTCGCACGTCTCTGCTAATCGTGAATGTCATCGCAAGAATGATGGAGAGAGAGAGAGAAAGAGAGAGAGGTAAGAATGTAATTTTAATGTTTTCCAAATGGAGAGAAGGAAGCAGGCGTGTATATTGAGATTCACGATACGATTACAGCAACTTGACGTTCTATTGAAATTTAACTTGATTGCTTTAACGTGAATTTTAACAAGAATTAATATTCTTCTCTGTATTACAAAAGACTTACATCTAATTTAATTTACAATCAGAAAACGTGTTACGTTTGAAACTGTATAAAATAAATAAATATTACGAACTGTAAACTGTATAAGAAACTGAACGATCAAAGTTGCGATGTCGTGTAGTGATTCTCATAAAAATATCATTAATTGTAAACCCACTGGGCCCAGTGTAAACGTTAACCCATGAAATCGTACATGTTACGCCGTTAGAGCACGTATGCTCAAACGTTACGCCTTTACATCGTAAGAGAAGAGAGGAAACATTGCGCACACTTCGCATGTCGCGACGATTAAAACTAGACTCATCAGGACCATAAACGTCTTCGTACTCGTCTTCATTCGTCGAAATTTCACAGTCGTGAAGCACAAAGATCTTTGGAACTCTTCCTGCTCAGCTGTAAGAGATTGTATACCGTTTCCAATGATTTTTTACCCCTTACGCTAAGACTAGGAAGCGAAGGGAAAATTGTAAGAAAAAGATTGATCAATTTGATTTAAAGTAAAATCCTATAAAGTAGATGCTTTCACAAAGTAAATATTAATAAAGCGTTATATTGGAATTGTAAGTTTCATTCTGAAACTAAATGAAACTAAAGAAAGATGCATTAAATATTATTGTTACGGTACTAAAACAACTCCAAGCTTTTCTAATATCGTAGGTACGAGAAAATAGTTTTTCTGGAATTCTTCTTAATTTACCCAGAAAATTCATTACTCAAGAGAAACATTCCCGGTCATAGCTGACGTGAGGGGAGAGCAAACACAGAGAGAAAGAGGGAGATAAACGATATAAAACCTTTCTCTTCGCTTCCCTGTTCACTTGAACTCGCGCGTTCTCGTTGATTTCGATTCGCCGTCGTTCGTCGCACACTCGCACGTATTGTACCCTTTTTCTAATCTATTTGTAATATCTCGAACGAATTGTGTCATCGCCGACGCCGATCGCGCGTTCCGACCGTTTTCGCGATCGCGTCGCGTCGCCTCTTTGACGTTGTCTTTTCAGTGTACGATTCCACGTGAATTCTCGGAAATAAAAAAGTAAAAAAAGGAGACAGAGAGAGAAAAGCAAACGAGAGCAAGGAAACACGTTTTAACCCGGTATTCTATGTCGATCGATACGAAGGTCGTGGATCCGGCGCGTAGGGGGGGGGTAGGGAAAGGGGTAGAGAACGTAAAACGAAACGAGGGGTTCGAATACGATTCGGGTCGAAGGAATTTTCATTGCTGTCCCCATTGTTTGCTCAATTGTACGATTAACGTCGCCGGTCGATTTTTTACTCCTACAACCCCATATACACCCTCGTATCGTTAAGTTTATACTGATTAAGGATCGGCGTAATCTAAAATCTTTTTGATTCATGCTGACACGAAAGTGGTGTTCATTAATGTAATTTACGAATTGACTGAGAAACAGTGTCTCTCATAATTTTATCAATTAATACATGACAAATTCACTCTAAATTAAAATGTTGAACAATCTTAAAATATTCGATAGCTCAAGAATTAATTTCTTACAGTCTTTTAACATTCGTGTAAGCATGAATTAAATGCAAATAATGAGAAACGCAACGGGATACTGTCAAATGTTAGGAATTGCCCTTCGTTCCCTGAAAAGCCATGTTTCAGCCGAACAGGAACGAAGAGCGGGTTCTTCGACGCGCATGGTACAGTTAAGCCGGATCGAGAGAAAATAAGGAATGCAACGGGGAAGAAAATCGCGAAGCAGATTGAAACGATATTTTTTAATCGACCGCGATTCTTCTTTGTCCTAACTGTTTCAATAGACATCGCTGGTGCGTTCGATCGACGATACAACACCATTGCCATTAAAGCGATCGGATGGAAGCGATCGTCGATCGAATCAAATGCGAGGAACGAATTATAATGAGAGAAATAAGACAGAGGGGAAACTAAGAATCGAAAGAGAACGTTTGTAGTTGCACAACGCAACGTCTATGAACAAGTAACAACAATGTATACACTATACATAATATATAGATGCATATGCAAAAGTGAATAAATCTACGTATACATAAATGAGATAGATTAATAAAAAAAAAACAGAGTGTCTAGCATTGTTATTGGTGCCGTTGACGGTGATCTTACCTTTGGCAGTGTTCCAGCAGTCGCCTTTGTATCTCTATTTTAATTAAACAGTCTTACTTGGCGAAGAACAAACAACTTAGTGATCGATATGTTTTTATTTCTGATTAAAATAACAGACCAAGGCACATCTGGATATCTCGATCAATGAACATTTCACTTTTGTTACATTGAGATACACGTGCAGGGATGAAAAGGACGTTCACGTAAAAAAAAGATAACAATTTAGACTCGATCAATGGTTTAAAAAAATGAGAAAAAAAAAGTAACCCAAAATTCTGATACACCGTACGGACCAACCGTGCAGGTATACCTCTCGTGTCATCTCGCGAGAGAAAAAAACATCTGAACGAAAGAAAAGATGTTCCAAGTTTGTTAATAAAATAAATCGCTTAGTTCCTAAATATCTAAGTATGCAAATCGATAAAATCGCGACGCTTGCGGATGGGAAACCCGAAAAAAATTTCGCGAGGCGCAAGTGTCCTCTATAAAAAAAAAAAGTGGGTAACAGAAAAATAATACTCCTTAAAAAAAATGTCCGATTTCCGATTAAAATTGAAAGACTTAATTTAGTTAAAACCCGCGTAATCCTACGCGATAATTTCATACATAAAACACGCTATAAAAAAAGAGGAAGATCAACTTGAAGAAATACCTACCATAATCTTTTTCCCCCTAGACGCCTGGTCCTATTCGTTATTTTCTTTTTTTTCAATTCGCCTGTTTTCAACTCATTTTTTGTGGCTCACGAATACTCAAGAACCTTGTACTATCATGGAACTATTTCTTTGAATTATGGAAAATATAATACTATTCGTTGTCTCGCGGCTTATAGAATTGTATAGTCCATTCTACAGAATTTCATCTGACAGGATGATAGTACAAGGATTCAACGGTGTTCGTGCGACGATTCCCCATGAGAAACAAAAAAAATATCTTTTTATATTTTCAAGTTTTGGGCGTTGATCAACGTTCCTCGTAGTATCACAGATAATTGCCGACATTCTCGGGCATCTCGTTGATCGGGACTTCCCTCTGAACGTGTTCAACGAAACCCACCGTCTCCCCTTCCTCGGCGGAAATGTTTGCGTTCGTTTCCACTGCGCCTTCTCCACCCTGTACAGTCTTCTGCTGATTCTCGGACGAAGCTTGACCTAAGAAAAGAAAATTCTACTTGCGATCCTGAACGAAATTAACCAATAGTTGATAGTCAGCATAAAAGAGACGGGACGAAATTGATAATTTCTTCTCATTTGTTTATCACTCGAGTTACACGAACCTTGACCAAGATCTCGCGCCTTTCCATGATAAGAGTATTCACGCGCGTTCGCGAGACCGGTGATAACACAAGCGCTAAGAGCACTACGGTTCAAATTCATTGGTGACGCGTCGTACCATTCGTTGCTGTCCGCATCATAACATTCCGCATAAGCAATCGTCGTGGAACCTTGCAAACGAAACTCTTTTAATTTCATGTTATTATTTGCATCAGTACTTCCAGATAAAATTTAATAAACTAGTAGTGCTAGATGCTCCTACAAGCATAATGCATGTTGGAAGCCGTGAACTAGTATTTGGGATTGCGTTACCATTGAAACCCCCGACGACGAATATCATATCGTCCAGAATAACCGTGGCGAAATTGCTGCGGGGACTGAACATCTCGGGAACCGCGTGCCAATCCTCCGAATGACTCGGATTGTAACGCTCCCCTGCGAGATCAGAGAATCGATATTGATGTTGGGAACATTCATTTCTACGCAGCGTCGAATTTCTGTGCAATGGACCGTAGCATTGAAAGAACCTCTGAGTGTACAGGGGCATCAAACCTTTCGCCATTTTTAAAAATATTGTCTAAGTATTTTATTCGTCACCCGTGATATTGTAATAAAACATTACAACAATCTCATTAAAAATGTGATATGCAAGATGAATCCGACAATAATTTCTTCATGAATATCGAGACATAATATGAGAAATCAACTTGAAATCTGCAATAAATTAATTGCTTTTTATTACCGGAACTAAGTCTGGTAAACCCGTTGAAGCCACCGAGGGCGTAAAGGCTGTCCCGGAACGCGACGAGGGAGACGCCGGATCGCGGATGGATCATCGGGTGGATGTAGCTCCACTGATTGGTCTCGATGTCGAACACTTCTGCAGAATCGAGTATCTCGCGGCCGCTGTAACCACCGACGATGTAAATTTTATCGTGGAGGGCGGCCGCGCTCGCGTCCGATCTCTGCCGATGCATCGGTGGTATCATCTCCCATTGATTCCTTTCTCCCCCGAGCTCATCCTGGTGCGGCCATTGTAACCGCCGAGAGCGTATATCTTTCCTCCTGACAGTGAATGAGTCACGATTAGGGCTGTTCCCGATCGTTAGATTTTGGGGTGACGAGGGAATCGTTTTGTCCGAAATGGACAACGTACGACTTCAAACGCGTACAGAACAAGCGTTAATAATATTAATTTAACATTCGAATAAAATTGATACGATTCAAGCATTTTACGTTGTGTCGTAAAAATGTATGGTCGAAGAAAAGCTAACCGTGGGTACAAACGCTGACGTAACATCTCGCGTGATACATGCAGGCCCTTTCACGCCACTCTCTCGTTATCGGATCGAAGCACCTGACCGTGTTGAAGTGCTGGTTGCCATCAAAGCCGCCGATCATGTAGATCAAATTGTTGAGAGTGCACAGGCCGTGATAAGCTCTCGGCGTCGCGTCCGTGCTCACTGATAGAAACCATCTGTCAGCTCTGGAGTTCACATTACACGAACCCTGTGTGAGTCTCGGACCTCAATAAAACGATTTCGTCGCGCGAAATCAACCCCTTAACGTACAGAGCTTCCAGTACACAGGGTAGAAAATAATTTTAAAATCAACATACATTATTCAAGATAAAAGTATACAGTAATTCTGTACTTGAAAGAAATACGTAGACTGTTGGGTACGTTGTTTACATTTTAGCGAGTGTTAAGGGTTTGACAGTGGAATTATAACACATAGTGGAAAACCGTGTTCGCGGTCGGAGGAAATACGTGTTTTCGAGCACCTTGTGTCGTAGGTCTCGACGAAATTCGTCGGAGAACCGGCGCTCCAGCCACCGATCGCGAACAGGATCTCGTACGGGATTCGGGGCTTCGATAAGGGATTTTTCAAATCGACCTCGCCGCTTCCCTGCTTCGCTTCCTGCTCGGTTAGGTATTGCTTAGCGGCACCCAAAACTCTCTGGCACAACTTGTTAACGAAACACAATTTCATATGATGTCACTAAATATTCAATTTATTTATTTCGGCATAACATACCTTCACCAAGATTAGAGAAAAATATTAATAAATAAATAAATTAAAATGAGGAGGTGAACAACAATAAATATGTAAAAAACAAGATTCTTATTCCATTTGATTTAAGCTGTCGTTTCACTCACCTCGTCCCCTTCTAAGATCTTCCACCTGAGGACATTGGTTGTAAAGAAGTTGTAGCTCATCAAACCGTACCGCACACACTTCAACAGCCTCGGCAAATAGGGCCTCCTCTTCTCGACGTTGTGCTCCAACCAGGTTTTAATGGCCTCGAAAACTATTTCCTCGTTTTTAACGTTCAGCTCGTCGTCACGTAGTATCGCCTGGAGTTCATTCACCGTCAGCTCTTTGAATTCCGGGCTCTCTTGCAGTATCCGCTTAAAGTGATGGCGAATGTATTTCCGGCCCTTCTCTTCCAGATCGAGGCAGAAGTAGTGACGAGCGAATTTAAATATGCCTACGCGGAAAACGTTTCACTGAATTGTTCGCGTGTAAAAGTTGAGTCTCCGATGAACGCCCAGCGACGTCATTAAATGATATCTCTTAATTATGTAAATAAATTATTAAAATAAATGAAATTTTATATGATCGAGTTAAAAAGAGTTTATTGTAATCAGCGTACCTAAACAATTTTCCGGCCGAAGTTCCTGAAGCAGAAACTGACAGCACAGCTGGACGACACCCAGCACTTCGAACTGATCAGCCAACGGCAACAGCTGTTCGACATTGTCGTCGGTGACGTTGCAAGTGCCGGTGTAAGCGTAATCGAGTATCAGACTGAAAATTTCGCCGGGGACCGTGTCTATCGCGACCTCCGTCGTCTCGGTCTTCCCGCCCTTTAGGCTGTTGGTGAAAAGTGCCTTAAAGTACGGACTGACCGCGGACAGTATGGCGCGATGCACCGGGAAGACGTCGCCCTTGGCGCATATTATCGCACCGTCGCACAGCTGCTGCTTTGCTCTGAAATCCAAAGTAGATGTATTTCTCTGATGAGAAAAACGTCCCCGACAGGATTTAAACGTCAACCGATGCGAACGAGCCGCGTATTCCCATTCTTCTCGTCAACCACGATTGTCAATTCAACCTCCAGCCGGACTTGACGTACACGTAATTAAAACATCCTATCGTGGAGTACGCGAAAGAGGATAGAGGAGAGAGAGAGACAGATAGGTTCGATGGAGTTTGTACGGACCTAAGCTCGGACCAGACAACGGGGAACTCGACGAGGGCGTAATTTGATGGGAGGCACATGCATTTCCTTATTTTCGCCGGTTGCTTTCTGGCGCACTGCTTCAGCTTGGTAGTAGAAACTACGACCCGCGACATTCGGCTGCGTGACAGCTTCCCGAGCTTTAACCTGCCGCGGCCGTCCATCGCCTCGCGGACGAGCCACGCGATCCCCGCGTCGCTGGCCACCATGTGCCCCGACCTTGCCACCGATACGTTCCTCTTTTGCGTCCTCAGCTCTGTAGTCGTTTTGGTTAGCGATACGAGCAGCCCCGGCAAACCGGAGAGTCGCAGCCATGACAGAGGAAGGCCGAGACTTTCAACTGACGACGGTGCGCCGCGCGCGATCGAGTTCCAAGTACCGATCCTCCCCTCGATTGTCGACGAGTTCCGACCGATCTACATTTACGATCGTTTCCTTCGAAATTAGACATCCCTATATCGATATTCCAATTAGCCCTTTTTTATACAGTTTACGTGTACACGTATCCTTCAGATTGCAATAGATGATAAATCAAAATTATGCAACAACGTACTCGAAGTAAAATCAGATTGTAGCGGATTAATATCGTTGTCAGGGAAAGATAAGATAAAAATGGGTGGGAAAATGCAAAGGCGTATTTGCATGGCACTATATAATTTTACATAATAATACATCAACACATTTCCACGACACAACAATTTGTCTCCTCACGAAGGTATTTCCACGAACTTCCTAAAATTAAGAATCCCGCATGAAAACACCGGCTACAACCCCAAACGCTTAATCAACCCCTTGCGATAGCACGCAGTACGCCCAACCGAGAGACGTGTAGAGCAAATACTTACACTTTTAAAAGTGCTCTCGCATGTTTGCTTTGGTACGCTTCACTCATGATTGTTAAGCAATGTGAATTGTAAAAATATACAATAAAATGTCTGAACTTTTCTAAGTGTACCTGTTTTTCTTTCCGAAATCGATTCCAATCATTAATTCGGAAATTAGTATTCGAAATTTAATAATCAAATTTTCGATTGATATGTACTTTATTCTTTATTCTAAATTTTATTCACTTTCTAATGAATTCGATCAGGCGTTACTCTAAGGGCGTTACATTTGATAATACTATAAATGTTAATAGACATACAAGGTTTTATTGTTGCCATCAGGATTTTTATTTGATATTCCCAACAAATGTATTGATGACATGTAATTAATGTATTAAAGAATCCAAATAATAGACGTATGAGTGAGTCGAGGAGCTAAACGCATAATCAGTGCAACGAAGCCTGACGAGAGCAAAGGAGCATCCTCTAAATCGCGGATCCGGTTAGGCGACAGGGCGGGGCCGGTGCCGATCGAAAGCGTGGCCGGAGCGTGCGGTATCGGGACCGTGAAACAAAAAAATAAATAGCATGCCACGGCCGAAGGTTAAGGGCTGCGAGCGTGTAAGCGGCCGCGGAGGTGCCGTTTCGCCGTGGCTTGCACGCACACGCGCGTACGAACAGGGTAGCGAAGCGTGCGTGCTCGCGCGTCACCCACGTAAAAGTCACGTGGCACGCTCACGCCGCCAATCAATATCGAGCCACCGTGGGGTGTGTGGGTTCGCGGGGACGCAGTGAAAGGTTCGCCAGCGCTGAGAACGATCAGCCACGCCAGCCAGTGCGTCCGCGGCCGCCAACCACACCTTGTCGAGGGAAACACGCTCGTACGCGCGCGCATTTCCACACGTACACCCTCGTGCCGTCACCGCACACACCCTCCGAGTCAACGTGCAACCCCCGTGTCGTCGGCGCCGTTTTCGACCGGCCGTTTCGCTTTCGACGCAGTCTGCCTGTTGCGGGACGCATCGCTCAACGAGGGGAGGATTCCAAGTGCAAGGTACGACCGAGGAGAGTGCAAGGTTTTTTTTGTTTTCTGCGGAAAATTAGTGAATGCGAGGAGAACAGTTTTCAGGGGATAGATCATGCCGAATTGCTGGATGTTTTCTGAATGAAGTCGTATCGTCGTGTGATAGATTCCAGGCTTGACGTTGAGAATGTGGATTACAGTGAATTTCGTATTGGAGGAGATTACGTCTTTTTTATCTTATGAGAGAAAACGGAGGTACTTGAAGACGAGGTTTCGGTAATAAGACGACGATCGCTAATGGATCAGGGGATTTTCTTGTTGAAAGAGCTGATATTGCTTGGATAATTACTTTGAATATTAGGGCTACAGATTAAATTTTAAAAATATTTCACAGTGACAAATTTTTATTAAAAATTTTTCATAATTTAGTTTGAGAGGTACTCTAAAAAGTTTGAGACATGTGGGTCTGCTTATCTTGATAAAAAATTAATGGCGAACGGAGATCCTCAATTCAATAATGTATAACACGAAAAATTATCTGTATAGGAAAACGAATTCTTTATAACACTTTGAAAGTCTTATAATATATTGCATTTACATAGAGTGTGTATACCGTTGTTTAATATCTGCTTAAGTTCTTGAAAATTGAATTTAGATATAACTATCTGTCCCCTATAGAGACCTATGAACATTATGAACATTATGTATTTCTCAATCCACTATCTTATCTCCCTTTTTGTTATACGCTGTAAAACACGAAACTTCATTTTCCAAGCCTCCAGATCAACACATGTTAACTATACGATACAATATAATAAAGAAAGTTCTTATCAATTTATTATCTTTATATAAATTTGCTTATATTTGTATTCTTTCTTCTCCCATTTCAATGATATAAAATAAAAAAGACTAGCACACTAATATTCAATTACCTAATTGCTTCGTAACCGATAATCCTTTGAAGCTAAATAACAAACTGCTAAAAGAAGTTGCAACCCCTCTCACGCCCACCCCATAATCGCCAAACTCCATAGACGTTTCCCATTCCATTCGACAAACAGAGATTCCGTCGTGGTAAACACGTTCCCCCTTTGAGGAGTCGAGGAATATTCAAAGGTACTTTTTCGAAGCCACTCGATAGCCACTAGATTCTTTGCGGAAGTCTTTCGCAGACGTTGCTTTCCACGTTGCGGGGATTTTTTCCAGAGGACTGCTCGACTTTCTCGAAAGGAGAGCAGGGGAAACGCAGTACGTGTGTGCGCGCACTGCACCGGTGCGACTTTAATGGTGGTCGAGTGTTTTCGAGGAGGAGCGTAGGTGAAAGTGGTGGATAGGTGCGAGCAAAACCGCGGGACGAGCTACACGCTGCACGTTTCTCCGGTGCGGATATCGAGCGATCGAGGCGTCGTGAATTTTTTAGATCGACCCTTTTTGACGATGCTCACCGGGTGAAACGTGCTCGTACCCGGTTTATCTACAGCTGCCAGACACACGCCGGCCGCCTTCGCGGCCTTAGAACCCGGTGTCACGCCGGCTGCAATATTTAAACGATGCTGTGCGATGCTGTCCGAGAGACAGAGAGAAATTCAGACTTTCAGACCGTTTCAAATCCTTCATACTCTTGTCGAGCGAAATTCCGCTTTCATCCTTCTCTTTCAGGAATTTCTAGTTCCTGATATGTTCTGCTTCGCGTGTTCGCTTCGTCTCTATCCGACAGCCAGTAACGTTGAAATTTTTCATTTTTTCTTATTGTAAATTTTACAGTTCTCTCGTTTGTTTTATACGGTCTTTAGAATTTGATAAAAGTACTGGTTGTCGTGTTCCATGCTCATACCAAGCCCTTGTTGGGAGTACAATCAACAGAACGCATTTCCATTATGTAAAGTACGTGGAGAAGATAAAAATCTATGATTCATATAATGAATTTATGCCAAGCTCAGAGATTTGTAAAATATTGATAGAGTCATAATGATTATATTAATATCTTTTCCCTTTACAATAATACTGTACACTTTAAATATAGAATTGATGTAGTTTCTATTGGGAGAGCTTTTAGACAAAGCGCAACGGGAGTATAAAATCGAAGCGGGAGGTAAACTTTCGAAGCTGAGTCACGCGGTTTTATTTTCAAGCGTAAATCCCCATCGACGCTGAGAAGTGCAACTGGGTATAACTAAACTGTTGACGACTTGTGCGAGTCAGTATCTTCAAGCTCGCATCTATAAAAATGAAATTAAATATAATTTTTTTCTGAAAGTTCTGAAAGGCAGCAATCACCCTAACAATGTTTAAAAAAATATTTTTGTTTTATTTATAATAGGAAGTATAGTCGTAATGATATTGATAACGTGTTTTTGCATTTGCAGACGGGTAATTGACAAGGACTTAAAGAAGATGGACGTGAAAGGGCGAGTTGCCCTGGTGACGGGCGCCGCTTCCGGTATCGGTAAAGCGTGTGCCATAGAATTATTGAATGAAGGCGCAATGGTGAGTTGCAAAACATCAAGCAGCAAAAACTGAACACGTTCGAATTATAACATTTCCTTTCTCACATTATTATAAAATTATTAAAATACTGAAGGAGTGGTTTGTACTTTCCATGAAGGCGACGCGAAGAGAGAATGAAATCTTTATAACGGTGTTTTCATTAGAGTAGCTTTAATACGGTTTTACCCCATAGCACGAAGCGCCTATAAAAAGCTGATATTAATAGAAGGCTGTGGAAGACCGTAGGAGAGGTTTTGTGAAATGTAACTCGCAAAACCTCCTTAAGGATGTGACCTTGACTTAGTATATCGCTCCATGAATGTTTCATCGCCGTGTACTCGAAAATACTCGACTTATATTTAGATCATTCCCCATCGGAGACGATGCTTTATTCTCCTTTCTGATCAACTTCTGACCAATAACAAATTTTATGTTAGCGACTGACATTAAAAAAAAATATGATCATAAGAATGAGTAAGGGCTTGACCGATATTTCTATTTTTAGGTGTCTATATGCGATATCAATGCAGAAGAAGGCGACAAACTAGCGGAGACTTTAACCACGGAGTACGGAAAAGACCGCGTAATTTTCTGTCAATGCGATGTTACAGATTACTCACAATTTGAGGGTAAGAGCGATAGTAATTAACGATTTTCACGTAAAAATTTCTGTGCATAATTAACATATTTAAATTCTCTTCACAGAATCGTTTCAAACGGCAGTCGCAACGTTCGGTCACATCGACATCGTTATTAACAACGCTGGAATAATGAACGATCGATTTTGGGAGCTGGAGGTCGACATCAACGTTGTAAGTTTTATCCTACGGTTCGCTTCTTTCGTTTTCCCATACATTTTCTTCGCTTTTTGATTCGATCGCCACGAACTTTTAACACGAAAACTTTCATGAAATTATATTGCAGAATGGCGTGATACGCGGAACTTTGCTCGCTCAGCGATTTATGGGCACCGATAGAGGTGGTCAGGGTGGTATAGTGGTTAATATTGGAAGCAACGTCAGTATCACCCCCTATGCGAGTGTTCCCATTTACTCTGCCACGAAGGCGGCTATCGTAAACTTCACCAGAGCGTTCGGGGTAAATAATATATTTAAAACAAATTCGATCAGTTTACATACACTAATACTGATAATTAATTACATTTTTACTAAAATTACTCGAATAGAAGTAAATACAAACACTTATCTACTGCATAAATAAATTACATCACACATGCTTGTCTTTAAATTGATTAATCTCTAATTACAATTTTTATTTCTACATCTTAAATCATTTTTCTGCTCCTTTGAAACTCTAAAAATAGACGTGTAATAATATTTTGGCATTGTTTGTATTTAATGCCACATAAGGTGAGGGATTTGATGTATGGAATTGGAATGTGTGGTCGTTTGTCGTAGCACCAATACCATGTGGATTTAACCGGTGTGAAGGTGATGGCACTGTGCCCAAGCACGACGGACAGCAAACTATTAGGAGACGTCAGTAAACAGCTGCTCTGGGCTCGATACGTTGACGCTTGGCTCCGTGACGTTGCCAGTTCAGTTTCTCAAAGGTAATATAGACAATTATACATAAAATACACAAATTATTATACAGATCCGTGTACTATTATACAAAAAATGTTCTTCGTAAAAATAATGATGGACTTAAAATTGACTATATCCAATATAAAAATTTGCAAGTGTTGATGCGGATTTTATATAACGTATGAAAAAACAATGCATTAATTACATAATTAATTTTTCTATAAATTATAATTTGTGTCATTAAATTCATAAATAATTATAATTTCATAATCGGAACGGTGCTTGTTGTCAGTCCTTCAGTCAATGACATTCTTATTATTCCAATTATACGTTCCATACACTGGAGAACCAAGCAGATGTTTTCGACGTAAAAAAAAAAATATTCCAGACCGGAGCACGTGGCGAAGGCATTGATACAGATTCTGAACGAGGGCAAGAGCGGAAGCGTCTGGCTAGTGGAAAAAGATCTGCCAGCGCACGAGATCACATTCCCGAAAAACTAAACAAGAGATCCTAAATCATCCACGATTTTCACGTGGATCTTCCTCGCTTGATAACACTTGTGCCGTACCATAATTGCGAAATCGCACCGAGAGTATTCAAGATCGATCAGCTTCCACTGTCGCGAGGGTAAAACGGAAAAACTAAACTCCAATTGACCAACTATGGGGTTCTGGCGACGATCCGTGAATCAATCGCGCAGGGAGAGTGCGGTCGAGAACGACATTCGTAACGAGCGTCCAAATTTAAGGGATCATCAACCGCACTACCACAAAATACGGGAGACAATTTGTACGATGAGAATGCTCTTCACCGCGTTATTATGCATTCGTGTGCGGTCCGATAACATGATAATCTAATCAAGTCCTCGAGCGCCTGTTCCTGTTTACCCTTGAGTTTTCTGTTATCTGATGAAAGAAAACGGGAATTGATGATGAGTCGGGAATCGTTGATCGAGAATTAGTTATACAATTTCGACGAGGGATTTTTAGTAGTGTAACCGGTTCAAACACAATCGACGTTCTATACGTTTCTTCGTAACTGCCACCTATTCATCGTAAGACTTGATATAGTTCGTAAAATATTTTTTCAATACTTTTAATCAACTGTTTATGCTAATGCGTTTTACCACGACGAATGTGCACGAGTCTCTAGTAATCGTAAAATCAATGATGTTTGTTTAAATATTTATATGGAGGATACGGTTAAGGAAATGTATGCTGAATTTTTATTAATTTTTTAATATTAAGAACAATGTTAATCGTGAATGTCTACTGATTTGGTTCTTGAATCGTGAAACTTTCTTAATAGTTTTCTTGACAAACGTGCAAGCACAATTATGTATTATTGACGAGGTTGATTAAAATTCTATAATTGTATAATAATACATGATTCAAAATCAGGCTAATTCATTTGTAAAAAGAATCGAACAAAGTTTGATGCTTGATATATTCGAAAATTCTTGTTTTTCTTTCTTCTTCGCAGTTGCAATGTAAGGACTGGGTAAAGAAAGAAACAAATTTTCGCTAGAACTTTTACCGCGATTTAAGGTGTTTTGTTTATGGCTCAAACTTGATGAGTTACCTCGAATTAAGCTGTCCAACGTTTGAATATAAGCAATTGTATATTTGGATAAACTTAATAACATGGAATATTGGTACAGCGATTTTGTACACTCGACTTCGGGTAAAGCATAAAGATACTCGAAAACGTACAACTCGTCACTTGATCCACTATTAAAGTAAGCACATCTAAAGCATAGCTAAATTAAACACAATTCATTCCATCCATAAGAAGAAAATTTTTGAAATCTTTACAAAGTCGATAATCGTACGAGTTTTCCGTTTACGGACACTTTATGCAAATTTTCACCTATTCGCTAGCCAAAGAATGACACGTTTAATGAATAAACGGGTTCTGAAACAACGGGTTTATTCAATTCTCTGGTGAGATGTAGAAACAGAAACGTTTTAAAAGTACGCAAATCATTTCGCATGTATTTGAAGTAAGAGACTTATTCTGTTCCATTCTAATCCACCCATATCGCAACGAAAAGAAAGATTGTACGTTCGCAAGAAGGATTACAAGATGAAAAATTTTGCAAGTAATTTTGATATAAAGTTTTATCGAACGCGACCAATGTAACAAGAGCGGAGGGACAAACTAAAAGTTTAGATAGTTGTCTGCAAAAATCGAGGCCTAAACTCGATGCGTTTTACCACGACGAATGTGCACGAGTCTCTAGTAATCGTAAAATCAATGATGTTTGTTTAAATATTTATATGGAGGATACGGTTAAGGAAATGTATGCTGAATTTTTATTAATTTTTTAATATTAAGAACAATGTTAATCGTGAATGTCTACTGATTTGGTTCTTGAATCGTGAAACTTTCTTAATAGTTTTCTTGACAAACGTGCAAGCACAATTATGTATTATTGACGAGGTTGATTAAAATTCTATAATTGTATAATAATACATGATTCAAAATCAGGCTAATTCATTTGTAAAAAGAATCGAACAAAGTTTGATGCTTGATATATTCGAAAATTCTTGTTTTTCTTTCTTCTTCGCAGTTGCAATGTAAGGACTGGGTAAAGAAAGAAACAAATTTTCGCTAGAACTTTTACCGCGATTTAAGGTGTTTTGTTTATGGCTCAAACTTGATGAGTTACCTCGAATTAAGCTGTCCAACGTTTGAATATAAGCAATTGTATATTTGGATAAACTTAATAACATGGAATATTGGTACAGCGATTTTGTACACTCGACTTCGGGTAAAGCATAAAGATACTCGAAAACGTACAACTCGTCACTTGATCCACTATTAAAGTAAGCACATCTAAAGCATAGCTAAATTAAACACAATTCATTCCATCCATAAGAAGAAAATTTTTGAAATCTTTACAAAGTCGATAATCGTACGAGTTTTCCGTTTACGGACACTTTATGCAAATTTTCACCTATTCGCTAGCCAAAGAATGACACGTTTAATGAATAAACGGGTTCTGAAACAACGGGTTTATTCAATTCTCTGGTGAGATGTAGAAACAGAAACGTTTTAAAAGTACGCAAATCATTTCGCATGTATTTGAAGTAAGAGACTTATTCTGTTCCATTCTAATCCACCCATATCGCAACGAAAAGAAAGATTGTACGTTCGCAAGAAGGATTACAAGATGAAAAATTTTGCAAGTAATTTTGATATAAAGTTTTATCGAACGCGACCAATGTAACAAGAGCGGAGGGACAAACTAAAAGTTTAGATAGTTGTCTGCAAAAATCGAGGCCTAAACTCGGGATCTTTGACGCAAAAAACACAATTATTATACATGACATTTTAATCGTCCATCATTTGATTAAATGTCTCCACCCTCTTTTTACGATTAAGCAATTGTACAACCAATTATAATATTATATTACTCAACAATTAATTTGTAACGAGGAAAAAATTGAAAAAAGTCTTAATCTCTTTCTGATGAGTAAAAGTGATGATTGTTAATTTTGAAAAGATTATATTGGTCTCTCGCATGAGCACGTAATCCACGGAAACAACGAGAGGATCTATGGAGCATAGGATCGAAGGCTCAATCGCACACTTGAATATAAACATTGCGTAATTATTACCTAATCGACGGTACGGTCGATAGCTAGTGGAAATTGTTGGTTTCGTTATGATTCGTTCGGAATGTATGTTGCAAGCCTAGCCAATAAAATGCATAGCTTTTTTTACAAAAATAAAAAGAACCTTCTCCTAAACACTATTTTTATCGATCATCGAAAAAAGACGATAGTCACCATCTGACTTTGACACATGCAAAATGTAATCCACTTTTAAATTCTCGTTCCACGTAATCTCACATTACCAAATTTCTATTTTCCATACATGTCCTAGTTGTTCCCTGTTTTATTTCGTAAAAAATCGCAGTGAAAAATTATACAAGTATCAAAGCGGCATGCAATCACGATGCGTAATCTCATTCCTCCCTAACCTTCTCAATAAGAGTCCAAGGTTAGCTACTTGAATCTGATACGTTTCCTAGTAAACGATCGCGTCTCAATATTATAGATCGTCGCGTTTCGACACATCGTATTTTTAGTTCTCATGATCTGTGTTCGCATAAGCCGGATTGAAATTTTCTCATTTGGCATTTTAGAATACAGAATGTCAAGCGGTGTCAATTTCATGTGGCTAACGTGGAATGTCAGAAAAAGAAAGGCGGCAAGAAGAAGAGGAAGGGCAAAGATGAAATAAAAATAATAAGACCTGATGATTGGTATATTTCAAATACCAAATTAATTAATTCATATCAATAAATTGTTTAATCAAATTCAAATCAAAGTTTATACTCTCACTATGTAATAATTTAGCTCCGATCTGCCTAAACCGATTCTCGAACCTCGGTGCAAAACTGGTTTGATCATCGGTGGATCGCAAGGCTTCGGTTTCTCGGCGGCTGATCATCTGCTATGTAAAGGAGCCCGCGTTAGTATCTAACACTTCCTGACGTAACATACTGTTTCCGTTTAAACATAAATAATTCATAAAGCTAAAGCAGATGGTCAGAGAGAAACAAAATTTAATTCTCGTTACGCAGAAAGTCGTAATAGCTGACGATAATTACGTTCAGGGACAAAAAGCAGCGGAACAATTGTGCAACTCTCACGGAAAAAGACGTGCAGAGTTTGTACATTACAACGTGAAAAGTGATTGCCATTTGAAAGGTGAAATTAATAATTAAGCAGAGAAAAACTTACGGGAATTTTTCCAAATGTGTACTTGATTATCTTTTAGCTGGCCTGAAACGCGCCCTTTGTAAGCTGAAAGTGATCGACATTCTCTTTAACGATCTTGATAAAGAAATGTACCCATCGAATTGCCCGACTATGCAAAAAGGCGAAGTACGCAATAAAATTAAGAGAACTGCTCATTCTTCAGGATTTTCATGGAGATTAATGATTAACAGTTTGATGATGATTAAATGTATAGAATTGCACAGTGAAAACGATGAAGATAGGGATGAAACTGTTAGGAAAGAAGGACGGTGGCTCTGGGGGAATAATAATAAATTGTGCGAGCATTTTCGGTTTTATGGGATGGCCTCAGGATCCCTACCCAATTTATTGCAAGAAAAAGCCGGCTATAGAAGTTACCAAAGCCTTTGCGGTATTTCATATTTGTCACATCAATTTGGTAATTCAATTTGCCGCGTGCAATAAATAATCTTTCTATGGTAAAGGATGAATATAAGGTGAATGAAACTGGAGTACGTATAGTGGCCCTCTGCCCATCGACTAAACGTTTCTCTGAGATAGGATTGCCAGATTTTCCGGAACCCATTCCGAATAAAATAAACGATAAACTGCCGATTTGTTTGCCACAATCGTAAGTGAAAATTTGAACATGTTTTTCTGTAAAACTATTTTTATCGTAATATACAAGTCAAGCAAATTTCGATTGCCTCGTGAAACATCTAAATACAGACACATTGGGCCAGCTTTGTGTTACGTCCTGGCATGGGCAGAAAGCGGAAGTGCGTGGTTAGTGGAACCAGCGGTTAGCGTGCACCGAGTTCCTCGGCTGATACATTTCCCTGAGAAAGAGGGCGAGAAAGTTGACCCGAAACTTTACGAAGCACAAGTAACAATCCCTAAACCTTCATACTTCACACGATTTATCATTTATCATGTTTCAATTATAATTTTAGGGATGCTCGGTCAATATCGAGTCACCTTGCGTTAAGTCCCCTAGCAAATGTGTTGTAACTGCTAAAGATATGTGTATAAAGAAAGAAAGTCCAAAGAAGAAGGGTAAATCATCGAAATGAAGAGTGATGTTCCTTTAATAAAACAATGTATTTGACACGATGTATTTCTTACGCTCCTTCTAAATTCACATATGTGATTCTCTTTCGACGCGTCTTCGTAACGAGTATCAACTATGTTCGTAATTATGTAAAATATGTTTGTATCGTCTGCAACATTTTTATGCAACATCATGTGTACACAGTCCTCATAT